GGAAAAAGTAGGAGAAAATGTGGAACAAAACTCAACATTAGTCAATTAAAAAAAAAAAAAAGAATGAGTTTACTGGTCATAGAGAGACTGGGGGAACCTGAGACTATGACCCTTGACCACGCTTTAGTTCTGGAATGGAAATCACCCTCATGGCCCAATTTTCACCCAAGCAGTGAGTAGGTTTAATAGCACTATAAGGTATGTTCACACTGGAACAGTCAATCATTCTAAATCAATAGGGCCAACATTTTCCTAAGGACAAAGTTGAGAAGGTATAATAGGAAAGTAAGTAGAAAGCAAATAGGAACCACAGGGGGGAAATAGGATAACTGTTGTTGCATGTGGGAGAGGAGAATGTAATCTTTGAGATGAATCAAATGTATGATCTGTTGAATGTAAAGCTGGTAAGTTCGTCTGTAAACCTTCGCTCAATTCAAAATAAAAAGTAAAAAAAAAAAAAAAAATTGAACAACAACAAAAAACTGATGTAAAGATCAGTTTTTGAGCTAGCTGACCTTTTCACCCGTCCATCAGAAAGACTGTTTAGGCCAAAATGCTCATTTACATTTTTCAATGTCAAACCATGTGAGATGCCAACATTAATCACTATTACTTTAATGATTAATTCTACAGTCTTCTTCTACCAGTTTCTAGACTTCAGCCACTGTTTCTTCATTCGTCTGATTTGGTCTTCCCTCTACTGGCTCATCTTTGAGGTTTCCCCATCGTTTCCTAAAATGATACATTCATCTAAAAACTGTTGTTTAATACGGGGCTGCATTGCCATAAACTATTGCAAAGCTTCAATGATTTGAGAAAAAGTCTACTTGAGTTTTGAGAAAAATTTGATATTAGCTCTGACCTCAAAGTTTTTTGTTTGGTTGGGTTTTTTTTGCAGTTTACAACACAAGCTTTATAGGAAGCAAAAAAAAAAAAACATTTTTCCATATTGTACTCAGTCCATAGAGCCCAGATTGGGGGTGCTCCTTTTAATCCTCAATTGAGTTCATGCTTTGCCACGGATCACGTTCTCCACAGCTCTGGTTACTTGATCAGCACTGAAGTTGTTCAGAGACATTCTTCTCTTGGCCAAATGCGTAGTGGGCTCAGAGCTTGGATTGTACATTAGAGCACTCGTGGATTACAATGGATAGGTCAGGGTTCGTCTTCTTCAGTTTCATGTACCTTTTCTCAATGAAGTCTCTGATGCCCTGGCTGCCAGGTGAGTGCTGGCATGAATGGATCTGAATGTGATCACACAGGGCCAGTTTTACTTCGGTCCCCCGACTTGCTGTGACCACCTCCATTCTCACTCATACAGAAACCCCCATCTAGTCCTGCAATCCAACCAATCGGGCACCCTCCAAGCTAAGCGAAATTCAATTGTTTTTATCTATGGCACAAAAAGTAGCCCTTTTTTTGTTTTCTGAAGTTGCTCTAACAAGACACATATATACACAGTGATTCCACAAGGAAATCACTGCAGCCTGGTATCACGAAAAAGTCCCAGGCTCATTTTCTACTGCAACGTCAGACTGCAATCAGACAGGGCAACTACCCACTGAGCTTTCCTGATTCTACTCCTTTACATATAAACCACTCCTACCCTTAAAGCGTAGTGGTTACAAATTGGGCTGCAAACCTCAAGGTCAGCAGTTCAAAACTACCAGCTGCTCCGCAGGAAAAAGATGAGGCTTTCGGCTCCCATAAAGATTTATAGCCTCGGAAAACCCTGTACAGGGTCGTTATGAGTTGGAACCAACTCCACGGCACATAACCACTACCACCACCCCTGAAATTAAGGATCTCTGGTAGCATACTGGTTATAAGTCAGGCTGCTAACCTCAAGGTCAGCAGTTCGAAGCTACTAGCTGTTCCATGCGAGAAAGATGAGGCTTTCTGCTCCCATAAAGATTTACAGCCTCAGAAACCCTATAAGGGGTGGCTGTGAGTCAGAACCAACTCCACGGCACATAACCACCACCACCCTTAGAATTGATTCCAAACAATAAGTGTTGGTCAGCAAACCACAAGGTCCACAGTTTGAGCCTGCCAGTTGCTCCGCAGGAAAAAGATGAGGCTTTCTGTTTCCGTGAAGATTTAAAGACTTGGAAACAGAAAGGGTTGCTATGAGTCAGAAGTTGCTTGGAAACTACACAGGGTTGCTATGAGCCAGAACTGACTCGACGGCACATAACAACAAAACCCTTAGACTAACTATCACATTCACACTGGCTGATGTCCTTACCATAATTCAATGCTTTAGTTCAAACATACACCTCCTTTACCAAGTCTTAAGTGACTCATTTCAGAGGAGGCAGTGCTTTCTTCCACGGTGAGCTCATACCTGCCCCATGTAAGTGGCCTTTATCATATGCTATTCTAGTCTCGGAGTCTTGGTGTGGTGCTGTACGATAAGTATTGAACTGCTAACTGAAAGGTTGTTGGTTCAAACACACCAGCCACTTTGTGAAAACCCTATGCAGTCAATATTAAGTCAGAACTGACTCAATGGCACTTAACAACAATATCCGAAAGAGCAAAGAACACTTGGTGGGAAGCATCTCAAGGGCAGAAACTATGTCATTCATGAAGAAGCATTCATGATGGGGTCTATTATGGCTTTTCATACAAGCACACTGCCATTGCATTAATTCCAACGCATAATGACCCTATTTAGGATTTCTGAAACTGTAAATCCTTATAGGAGCAGATAGCTTCATCTTTTCCTGTAGAGTGGCTAGTGAGTGGGAACTACCAACCTTGCAGTTACCAGCCTAACACTTAACCCACATCATGCCCCCGAGTTCCTCTGCTCAACAATTGCTCAACCACTATTTACTGAATTCAACTAATGAGACTGCACTGTGCTCTGATGTTAGTTCCTAGAGACCAATTACTCTGGGTACTGAGACCAATTCATATGACTGCCCAAAGAGGAGGAGTAAAGATTTCCAATGAAAAAAAGTAAAACTTAACTTGTATGATAGGGGATTGTTCTGGAATAAGTCATACAATAAGGATGAACTAATTAATGATTTGACTAAATTTATTATCTTTTAATTGCTCAAACGGAGCTCTGGTAGCGTAGTGGTTACGAATCGGGCTGTGAACCTTAAGGTCAGCGGTTCGAAACTACCAGCCACTCCGCGGGAGAAAGATGAGGCTTTCTACTCCTATAAAGATTTACACCCTCGGAAACCCTGTACAGGGTCGCTATGGGTTGGACCTGACTCAACGGCACTTAACAACAACAACAATTGCTCAAACATAATTGAAAGATTAGTAAAGGCAAAATATAAATTTCTCAGTGTGCTACCTAACTGGTTCTTACTGTATGTATAATAGTCAACGTTTTTAAGGATATTACACCTTTCAGTCTAAATGAAAATGCTTCTTTTCTAATTATAATATGCAACATTTTAAGGGCTTGTCAGCTACATGAATCTTGCCCTAATTTTAAACATAACTTAAAAGTAGAATAGACCTCCATTTAACTATATGTGAGGTAAATAAATGGTAGTGTGAATAGAGAAAATAAGTCTCCTGTTTTATTTAAGTACCACTGACATTACTGTCCTATGAATGTACCTACCAGGAATGGCACAGAAAGAACAAACAGGTTTATACATTAAAAACATGTCAATTATTTGATGACTACATGTCAAACAGAAAAACCGCCTGAAGAGTTCAGAAGTCTGTCACATCATATTTAGCATATATCTAATGGCATACAAATCATTTATCATAAATGTCTTTCTTTATATAGGTCAAGGTTGATACAGCTTTGTGTTTTGTATCTTACAGTTTAAAGAATACTCTAAATTCTATATTTTTTAACTTTTAATTTATGGGGAAGAAAACCCAAAACTTTGTATAAACTTAGATTAATGCTTGCTAATGCACAGAAGAAAAAAAGCTGGAACTTTCCTCTTACTATAAAAACAAAATAGTGTGGCCTCTGTTTCTTTTCTGATAAGAGTCTTAAATACCAAACAGTTAGCTGCATAATAACATTTACTGGCAGCCAGGCAGCCTGCTTAGCAGATATATAAAGCAGGTAAAAGGAGGAAAAGTTAATTTCTTGGCTGAATGATTCCATCGGTAGCTATAGGGCAAACCTGAAAGTCTTTTAGTAAAGTAGCAGTTGATTCTTCTATCAATCTGTAGCACACATACTCTTCCAAGGAAAGCATTAAATATGAAAATCATATCCCGTTATCATCTGTTTCCAGCTTTCAGCCCAGTAAGCTTTTCTTAATGAATGCTGCAGCCTAAGGAACAAGCACGCTGTTGGCTTTTCTGAATAATGGAGTGATGCTACGATTTTTGCTTATTACAATATCAACTGGCTGAGGGGGTTTCACACATAGTCACAAGTGACTACTCTTGCCAGCATGCTCCAAGTTATTACAAGATGTTTTTAGACATTTCATCTAAAAGAGCTTTACTGCTTTTAGTGAAGAAAACATCTATGGTCTTGAACAGAATCATTTATATGGAGATAGGCGGGAGGATTAGAAGCCTGCATTATGGCAGATACATAGCAGAATTTATTTAAGTATTTCTTGCCAGTCTTTTTGTCTGTCGCATAGATATGCAATCTTTTCTTTCTACTTTCTCTATAAAAAGGTTAAAATGTACAAAATCACATATACAAAGAAAATTACCAAAATAAATTTTGTTCACTTCTCATTTAAAATATTTATCCAACTAAACAACAAAAAAAATCTACAAAGTATTATTTAGAAATACACAATTTTACCTCCTAAGGCACTAAGGTTTTCTTTGGTTTCTATGTCTTTTAACCCCAAAGTGACTGCCTGTTAGCAAATCTACCTGAATAAACATTAAAGCAATACTTTATAAATTAAATAATCATTTAAGACTTAATCAAAAAGAGCTTTGTAATAAGATGATTATATTTAAAGCAATATTTTAAAAGATGAACACTCTAGAAAGCCTCTGTTGACATAAAGTATATAATTTTAATTTATTACCTTTCCACTGTCTTCATCTTTCAGTTCGCCTTTTATTCCCAGGCTATCTTTTGAGAGTAGATGTATTTTCTTGATCTGAGTTTCATATTCAATCTAAATATAAATAAAGTTTCATTATTTAGTGGCTACTATTACAACTGGAATTCTGGTGTAGGGCTGTGAAATTAGCACTGGACTGCAAGGTCAGTTTGAACCAAAAGGTCAGTGTTTCAAACTCACCAGCCACTACTTGGAAACTCTATACAGGGTTACTATGAATTGGAACTGACTCGACAGCACTTAACAACAATTATTACAACTGGGAACTGCAGTGACCCTGTAGGATAAATACTGGACTGCAAATCACAAAATCGGCTGTTCAAACCCACCAGTCACTTCAAGGAAGAAAGATGAGGCTTTCTGTTCCTGCAAAGATTTACAGCCTCAAAAACCCTATATAGGGTCACGATGAGTTAGAATCAACTTGATGGCACCTAACAACAACAATAACAATCATTACAACTAGTATTTCTCTATATATGTTGTTGTTGTTAAGTGCCGTCGAGTCAGTTCTGACTCATAGCAACCCTGTATAGGGTTTCCAAGGAGCAGCTGGTGAGGTTGAACTGCCAACCTTGTGGTCCAAATCAACCTTTCGGTCCAGTGCTTTTGCCCACAGTGCCGCACCGGGACTCCTATCAATATATATTGCAGTCTTTATAGAATAAAAAGAACAATAATGTAAAAGTGGAGTCCCGATGTGGCACTGTGGGTTAATGCGCCAGACTGCAAAGCTGTTTCAACCACAAGGTCGGCGGTTCAAGCTCACCAATTACTCCTCAGAAACACTATACAGGGTCACTATGGGTCAGAACCGACTCAATGGCACTAACAACAACAACAAAGTAAAAGTTGATGTTGCCAGGAAATTTAACTTATCTTAGAAAATAAGCAATTTAAGAAAATTAAAAATTTTTATTTAAGAAAATTTAATTTAATAAAGAAAAAAAAAGTTAAATTATATAAAATGATATATAATTTTTAAAATAAAGTTTTGTGGAGTTTTACTTAAACTTTTATCAATTTAGGGAATTAAACTTCTACATAGATAAAATGGCAATACTTGCATTATGCTATCATGAAAATCCAGCTATTTTAATAAGTAAGCAGCACATTAGACTGATTTGTTTGAAAAGCTTTGTCTTAAACAAAGTGGAAAAAAATCAATCTCACTTCTTTATCTTTATAATAGCTAAATAATATCATGGTCCTACTAGCTGCAACAGAGTATACTATTTGCTTAATTGTCAACTTAAAACAAGTTCCACTTTCTGTACATAAAAACACATTGTAGGCATTGATGATCACCACCACAAGAATCAAGCTTTCTCTGATGCAAAATACTGTATGAAGATGTCTGCACCATTACACTATAATTGATGAAAGTGATTCAATCATAAAATTACTTTCTGAAAAGCAAAGCATAAAAGGCACTTTGATTCAATAAGTTACCCATTAAAGCCTTCAAAAAGTCCATCACAGATAAGTATCGGAATTATTTTCTAAATTAGGTATTTGATGCACTGCAATTAGAAACATACCTATGAGATAATTAAATTAGGAGTCTGTTCTCTTAGTCTCAGTCTGAACATAAAATAGGCCTGAGTTGGTTTCTCACACAGAGTGAAAAGGCAATACTAACCAAAGTTGATTTGTTTTCCTTAAAATATCTTAAAAGGTGCTCCATTTTTAATAAGAGGCAGGATTTTTTTCTCTAGCAGAATGCTCTAGTAGATGGCAACAATTATCTAAAATAGATATGTGATTAAATAACAGTTTTATAAGACCAGTACATATTATGAAAAGGTAAAGCAAACCAAGATAAGAAAGAGGCAATTAAGAAAATGCAATTTATATTGCTCTGTTTTACAGCTACTCCTTTTGAGCTCATACATATTTAATCTTTAACCCCAAGCTCTTTACACATACCCACTTTACAGAATCCAATGATAATTATCCTTAAAAAGAGGTGGGAGATGAGTTACAAAATAAACATATTAGAGGTTAGTTTAAAACACGTTTTCCTGTAGTTAAAAATGTAACATTATGCGCTTTGAATCAGTTATACACATGCACTGGGCACTACACCTGATTGTGTCATTGTGGGATCATTCAGGAGCCATAACTTCCAAAGACAGAGCACGTTTTCTTGGAAACTTAAGGGTTTTATTCAACTCATTTTACCAAAGCATTAAGGAAATTGTAACACCATAGGACTTCATAAAGAAAAATAAGACAAGTATCTTTAAGAGCCCAATTAAGATGGCGCTCAAGAAAACTGAAAAACTTACTAAGTTGTAGGTGCTCTTTTCTGAATTAATGATGCATCTATACACTGTACAATATATTTTGAAATGACAACTTACTATGATAAATTGATGACTGATGTAAACTGTAATTCTGCACACCCTGGGACATAAAAACACTTTGCTTTCATTACCTTTCATTTATACTTATACTTTATATTATTCTTCAAATCTACCTCCTTAAAACTTGAGAGCAGGGATTTTCAACTGTGTCCTGCAGGATAGTGAAGCTCCCTCATCCCATTTTCTCTTCTACCTATATTTAAGCAAATGGTTCTACTACCTTAAAAAGTTTGGAAATTATAGAAATAAATCTTTCCAAAGTTTTCCCAGTTAAAAATGTCTGATATAATGTCACAGTGTATTCTCTTCTGCATCAACTTATCTGTTGATAAGCTCTTCTTTCAAGTTGTATTCCTAATTTCTTTTCCCATTTGGTACATGTGCTTATTTTGCTTCCACAATATATCAGGGCTTCTACTACATTCTTTCCCCCTGGTCCTGTTCCTTTCCTGTCACAAGGACTATACTTCTCACTATCAAATGTGCTGCTTCGGGTGCCAAACTCCTCATGCCCCCAAACCATCTCTGGATCTGAAACCCTTCTAAAGATAAGACTTTACTTCCCCTCTTGGGAAATCTGTGAATTGGCCCAATTTGTTCCATTCGTTATTGCTTTGAGCTTGATGCAACCAACCTACCTAAATTCAGGAGGACCTTCTGATTCACTTTCTACCATGCAAAAGCAATTTATTTCAGCTCAATTACTGGAATCTGTTGATGATCTGGAGTGGTAGGAAGAAGAGACAGAGATTCTGGCAGATCTTTCAGCTCTTCCTGGTGTGGTGTTATGGGTTAATGTGCCAGACTGCAAAGCTGTTTGAAGTGCGAAGTCAGCAATTCAAGCTCACCAGTTGCTCCTTGGAAACCCTATACAGGGTCATTATGGATCAGAACTGACTTGATGGCACTTAACAACAACATACATAAAATTTGTTTCATTTTTCGCTTTGTTTCCTTCTTTTCTTCTGTATTATTAGTCTTTCAATTCCCTCTCTTCACATTACCACTTGCTTAATGTGTCACTTAAATGGAAACCTGTAATTTACAAAAAAATACCTTTTTTTTTAAATCACAGATTTCCTTTAGTCAGTAGTCGTTGGGATTATACAACTACTTCTCAGTTACAGTATACGTAAATAACTGAACTAAAGAGACATCGATTAGATGTCCTAGCATCTGGCACTAGTGGAAGGAATGGGTACAATTACATAAATTGACCATTTTGACTCTGGTGATTATCAGAGAAAGGACTAAGATTCAGTCTCTTGTTTCCTACCCTACTATTTTTTTACAATATGTGAATATAGGCTTTCTTTAAGATGAAAAATTGTTACCAATAAATATATATAATAAATAAATTGAAACATTTATTCAACTATACATAGTAACAAACAAGACACCTATTGTTGTTAGGTACCATCGAGTCGGTACTGACTCATAGCGACCTTCTGCATAGCAGAACGAAACACTGCCCGATCCTGAGCCAACCTCACTACTGTTGTCACACTTGAGTCCATCGACACTGCCACTTGGCCAATCCATCTCAAACAAGATACTAGGTTAATTAAAAAAAAATTTTTTTTAATGGAATTTGCTATAGACGTTAACAGCTGGAAGGCTGCATGTGGAGAGGGCACATTGCCCTGCCCTTAATGGCTGTCACAATGATGAGCAGAAATCAAATGAAAGCACAAAAGGTCTGTCCTTCTCAAATTTTATCCCCTATAGGCACACTCCATCCATACTGGTATGCAACATTTGATGCCACCAGCAGCCACTCCGCAGGAGAAAAATAAGTCTTTCTGCTCCTACAAAGATTTAAAAGCCTCAGAAATGAAATTTAAAAGCCTCGTTATGAGTAGGAACCATCTCCACAGTACTTAACCAGCAACCACAACACAGGCACATACAACCTCATGGAATGTTCAACATCTTTAATGTGACATAGATAATGACATTGGATCTTCAGAATGCCTCTAACTACTAAAAACAAATGTTTCCTGGGAAGGTATAATATGGGGTTATAGTCAATATCACATTAGTGCTCACACAGTAATACACACAGTTCATTAAAAAACAATAGGAAAAAAAAATGGAGACACAAAATTGCAGTTAAGTGGGTAGGTCTCAGCACTTACCTAGTGAATACTTACTAAATGCTTATTACTGAATACTTTCACTTTTTAGTGAGAGTACTGAAATACTAAGATAAGGAACTCTGTGATGTGAGAAGGCAGAGCTATAAACATAATACCATGAAGGAAGTGCTTTCTGATATAACACAAACCTAAGGTCTTCTAGTTGAAGGAGGTATGAGATAATGTGATGCTTACAAGGAAATGTAAACTGTTCAGCAGGTTTAAAGCACTGTGAGTGCAAAGGAGGAAATGTGAAAGTAAGAGGAAAAAGTGAGCACACATGCATGGGTAGAAGATAAAGATATAGAGAGACAGTGAACGGCATGGAGATGAAAGACATGAAGGGGAAAAGATGGAATGACAGGGGTGAGGAGACTGGGGATTGGGGAAGAGACAGAAATAGAGGAAGAGAAAAGATAGGAGGAAGATGGGGATGGAGGAATAATGGTAGGGGAAGAGAGAATGTACACTTCTGTATATCTGTATGAGACAGAGAGGCAAAGAATATGAGTGTGCATGGGGGAAGGGGAGGTGTCACAGGATTAAG